CGTCCAGGAAAAGCTTGATCAGCTCAGCCGGTAGTAGGTCGTCCGGCCCGACGGCCTTTTCCCGTACCGCGTCCTCCACCTCAAGTAGAGATGGGATGTCGTCGAGTGGCACGCACGTGGGCCACCGCTTGACCTTGTCAGCCGCATGCAGGTCGATGGTCGGCGACTTGGTGTTGAGAAGCTTGTGGAACCACCGTGCCCACCGTTGGCGAATAAACGTGGGGTCCCGAAGGACCTTGCCGTCCTCGTCCTTGATGTTCTGAGAGGTGAACGACCTCTTACCTTCGACGTCGATCATCTTCAGGTGCCTGTAGAAACCCGCCTGATCCCCCTCGCGGCTCTTCTTCTCGAGCTGCCGTACATAGCCCTCGAAGAACGTTTCCAGTGCTCTCCACCTCGCGATGCTGCGCTTCTTCCGCGCCGCCTTGAGCATCGCCTTCAGGGTCGCCTCGAAGGCGCTGTTCTTTGAGGCCCCACGCAGTTGCTGCTTGGCCGCCTTTATCTCCTTAGACGCTTCGGAGATCTAGTGCTGCGCTTCGCTCGTGTACCAGCCTCTCCGCCCTCGCGCGCACCTCGCCAGCGGCGCGGTCTCAGCAGCGGCCGACATCACCGTAGCCGTCAGCTCGGCGGCGGTCTCTCCCGTTGGCCGCCTGAGCGCCGTGGGCGGAGGGCGGCTGGAGGCCCTGTTTTGGAAGGCGACCCGTAGGTGTTTGTCCTTCCTCAACCGCTCGAGGTCGATACGGATCCGGCTGCTTCCGCTGTTCCCCCGCGCTCGTCGGTTGGGTGCGACACGGGGGGGGAGGCGGACAGTCGTAAGCACGAGGTTGTGGTCAGTCTTTGAAGTCGACTTGTTTGACGGCGACATTACGCACGAAACCCGGTCCGTCTGACGCATGAGGATGAAGTCGAGGCGGTACTTCTCCTTTCCCTTGTTGGAGCTCTGGAATGTGTGCTGCACTCCACCTTTCGGTGTCCGGAAGTAGGTGTTGGTCAGGGAGAGTTGGTTGTCTGATGCCAGTCCAAGGAATCGTTCCCCGTTGTTGTTCATGATGCCNGAAGTCGAGGCGGTACTTCTCCTTCCCTTGTTGGAGCTCTGGAATGTGTAGTGCACTCCACCTTTCGGTGTTCGGAAGTAGGTGTTGGTCAGGGAGAGTTGGTTGTCTGACGCCAGTCCAAGGAGTCGTTCCCCGTTGTTGTTCATGATGTCGCGTCCGTACGCGCCCATAATCTTGGCATCGCAGCACCCTTCTCGCCTCCTACCAGTGCGTGCGTTGGCGTCCATTAGCACCACGAGATGGTCACGGCTATAAACCTCCCGGATCGCTGCGTCGAGAGCAGTCCAGAAGGAGTCCTTGGCGTTAACATCACCGCCCGCGGTGGTGCGGACAGTTTCCGTGGGGGCGTACCCCACCACGAAAGTTACTCGGCAGGTGCGGCCAATTTGTAGGCGCGCCTTCATCAGCCTCGGGCTAATGCACTCCACCGTCCTACCTTCCTCGCCCACACTCTCCCACATGGCCTCCTTGATCGCTATGCCCACACCGTGTACGCCCCTCTTGTCCTTGGTGCCAGCACGGGCGCCACTCCAGATGATCACGTACCCGTCGTGTGCAATTGAACCTTGCCCCTCTCGTCGGGTCTCCTGGAGTTCTATGACATCACAGCCCGTCGCGGAACGAATCTGCATGACTGTCATCACGTTGTGACTGATGGGGTTCCTACCGCTGTAGGCGAGCGTGCGTACGTTGGACGTGCCGAACGATATGTACCACGGTCGCCCCGGTGGTCTAGTGGTATCCTCGTAATCCGCTAGTCGCAGAAGTCGTGAGTTCGAATCCCCATGGGTTGAAAAAATTACGAAATGTGCGGGTGAAAGCAAATTATAGCTGACAAGCTCTCGTGAGTACCAAACTTCGACGTGAGCACCGTCGACGAGGGAAAGGGACGGCTGGACCCTTCTGGCGATAAAAATAAAATTCAGCACGCACAGCAGGAGGAAGGTGGGGCATGAAAATAAATAAAAGAAGAAAAAAAGCCTTGGTGTTTACCCCCTCCTGTATGACCCAGGATGGTTGTAGTTGTACGAAAAATACACTGAAAGTACTCTACATACGCTGAAAAGTGTAGTACCCGTCTCACCACGAAAAACGGGGGGACTACTGTACTGTAGCCATAATAAATAGGACGAAAACACCACACACACACACCACACAAGTCTAGTCTGCTACTCCAACCCAAACAAACGCGACGCTCGGCACGCAAGGGTGCCGTAAATATGTATTACTTCCCTATACAGGCGGCTGGCTGTGCTTTTACGGCGGTTTGCATCCGCGTCGGCTCTGGTACTCGACGCGTCCCTCCGAAATCGGGTCATGCAAGCGAATCAAATAGTCTAGACTAGACTTCGTATCGAACATGCATAGACTATCTTGTTGCATAGTCTACATGTAGGATGTTTTGCGCACGGGCTGCTCTCCTCTCTCATCGGCGGCGGACAACCACAAGACAGAGAAGTCGCGAGACGATCATCGTCCCTTACGCTACACCAGTAAGCTCCTCTAAGCTTCGTCTCTTTCACTTTTTCATCAGCATTTCTCAAAAGTCAGAGATCGAGCCGATTTCTTACTAGCGGGCCCTTGCCGAATGAACCATGGCAATACACGGGTCAGCGACAAGGGTATCCCCGACAAAAGGTGAAGACGCGTGTTGTGTGCAAATGTACCATACCCTATTTCACTTCATGCGGTCTTCACGGGGACAGGATCTTAGCGTCAATCCTAGTGTTGGCCACGATTTGCCCCGGAAGAGTTTCACTCTACCGAAAGCGAGTCGTCAGACCTTGCCGAGAATCGTCAACAACGAGATTCTTGGCCTTTTCGAGAACGTATACGACTTCCATTCATCGAGAAAACAGTCTGTCAATCGTGGTGGATGCGGTGAGATTTGAAGGCCGTGCAGTCACCCCGTTGGCACCGCCGTATCAGGTTGTGCTTTAAATCGCACCGTGGGTATTATTGTGGACCAAGTGGCCGTTGCTTCCTGATCAACTTGGAAGGGAAAAGACGACTAAACATATCACACATTCAACTTTCGTTCAGCAAGGCATTCTTTTCGCAGAAGGGGGCGGTACGAAACCACCGTCAATCCCTGGACAACGTCAACATATATATATTTGCAGATGTTCACCAGATGTAGTGTCTCCATGATCCTTCCTAGTACTGGAAGCCTAAAAAGGGACACTTTTGGGGACGCCGCATGTTAACCGTGGTCGTCACTATGCTCCGCTGCGTTAGACGTACGTGGGAAACCTTTCTCTAGCACGCGTGTGTGAGGTGGTATGCATACGCTGTGTGATATGCGGCTGTGCGATGCCTAAGTGCCTCTTCTGGGCCCCTGACTCGCTGTCCACAATAATCCAAGCCGTGGGTCCCCTTGTCGGTAAAACTGTACGGCGCCTGCACTACAGACTCTTTGGGACTCAACAATTCTCCGAATAAGGGAAAAGCATTTTGAGTGAATGCGACTCAGACTAGACCAGACATTGCGAATGGTAAGGGCAGTAGCTAGGTTTTGCGCATCTCCGAAGCTGGTACACTGGAATGCAGCGATGGACATTTGAGGCTATGCGAGGAGGACGAGTCACTTTGGTATTTCGTTTCAGAGAGGTACGGTAGAGGGATTCAGTTTGCAGGGGTACGCTGATGCCGACTGTGCAAGCAAGGCAGGAGACCCGTAGGTTGACGATTTCTCAGCAGACTCTCACGGATGAGCTAGCAGCAGAATATGGAGTAGTAGTGGGAGGTAAGAGCGTTCCGATGTCTTCGGAGGTGAGGCTTTCTGATTTTGATGCGGATAAGGTGGCGACAGAATTTCCGTTTCGTGAGCTGGTAGGATCGTGACGTGTGGAGGAGGCGCTGTGTCTTGGTTTTCCAGAACGCAGATGTGTGTCACGCTTTCGACCACCGAAGCAGAGTACGTCGCGCTATGTAACGTAGTGAAGGAAATTTCGTTTTTGAGGCAGATTTGGCGTTTCATGTTGCCGCAGGTCGGCATGCCGTGCATTCCCATCTTTGAGGACAACCAGCGGGCGATTCAACTAGCGCAGAACCCCATCTCAAACTCAAACTCGAAGCACATAGATGTAAGGCACCATTTTCTCAGGAAACTGGTAGAGAGGAAGGAAAATTCGGTCATCCACGTACCGTCGCCGTACCAGCGTGCAGACGTTTTTACGAAGAGTTTGTCGAAGGAGGCTTTCGAGTCTCACCGCGATTTTGTGATGAATTTGGCATGAACATTTCATTATTTTTCTGATGCGTTGTGTTTTGGTCTTGTTTTGTTTCCCGTTTTGTTTATTTTCCCGCGCCAAGTATTTGTTACGCGCGATGCAGTATTCATGTTTCTTTGAATTGTTTTTCTTTCTTACACTATCTATTCTGGTCAAGTCTTCATGGCATATATTCTGAGAAAGACATCTTTTGGTTGAGATATCGCGTGTTAGCAAAGTTTTCAGGGAGAAACTGTTGCTAGCAGGGGGGATGTTAGATATACTCGCAGCAGTGTCTGGTCGTGAGGATCCCAGGGGGATACGTGTTGGGAATTTCGTGTGTTGAAGGATACCACCGGCGCAGTCACGGGGACCCTTTGGGCGTGGTCGGTACGATGATGAGGCTTGCGTGCGTGCTGCGCACTTTTTCCCTCTCTCTCCACCACCACCACCATCTCTCTCCAATCACGTTTCCTTCTCCCACTCTCTCTCCAACTCTCTCTCAACCTCTCTCTCTCGGCCTAACACGGCCGACTACCAAGTGCCCCAAAGTAACGTCCAGAACGTGCTTGCTGCACCCCGCGTAGTTTACCTTTCACACTAGTGTGCCGATATCACGGTATCTGCGCGCGGGCGTAGCCTTCCGGGGGTTGTGCAACCACGCGCAATCGGTAGACTCCCACAACAACATACACCATGGAGGGCATCGTCCTCTCCGTCTTTAGCGCGGAAGAACTACAACAATAAGTGGAGGAGATCGTTCAGCAACGAGTACAAGCCGAACTTGAAGCCAACAGGATCAACGAGGGTAAAGTCACGTGCGCCCAACCACCAGCCGTCAACCCAGTCCCACCTACTGGCAACCAGCCATCACCCTCCAGCCAAGGCAAACCAGTCACCTTCAACGACCCCACCCAGCAGCTTCGCACACATCGTGGCGCAAGCGGCTAAGGCGACACCCAGCAGCTTCGCACACATCGTGGCGCAAGCGGCTAAGGCGACAGCTGAGGTCATTGCTGAAAAACAGGGCTTTGCCCGCTCAGGCACGTTACGTGTCAATCCTGGCTCAGAAATAGAACCTTGGCTTGGTAGCGTGAAGAAGGAGCAGGACTTGTATATTCTGTTTGATATTTTTCGTAGTAAGTAAGATGATTTCATATTTGCAGGAGGAGGGTGTGCATGATGCGTTGGAACTGGAGGTCAAGGTCAAGGTCGGAAAGAGGGGTGTGAATGAAGCGGAGCTCCAGAGACTTTTTGGTAATGAAGTGGTCGACTAGTCATTCAAACTGTGGAATATCCTGATTAGCAAGGTTTTGTATCCCCCGATTCAGAGCTTGATTCTGGCGTGTGAGGGTCCCCAAAAAGGCTGGAAAATCGTGACAGAGCTCTATCAGGAGAAGAAGCAGTCAGAAAAGTTGAGGTTGGAGCAGGACTGGAAGGAGTTGGAGATGAGAGAGTCCGAGAGTCCACAGGATTACATTGCCCGCTCAGAGGCACTTCGCCAGCGTCTCGCATCTGTAGGCACGATGAAGGATGAAACAGATGCCAACACAGACATTGCTCGTGACCTTCACTCTTCGTTGTATGCCTTGCAACAAGGAAAACTGCTTGCTCATGATGTCCTGACGTTGCGTACCCTCGAGACTGTGGTGAGGGACGCCCACGGGGAGATGGAGCGCGAGAGGAGCAAGGGGGAGAGGCGCGAGGTGGAGCTCGCTCTCGCCGCGTCCGGCATGGGCCGGCGCGGCGGGGGCAGTGGGGGGGCATCCGGGGATCAAGACGGCGGTCACGCAGCAGCTGGCGGCCAAGATAGAGACGGAGAGAAGAAAAACGGTGATGTGTTCGACGACGACCTCTACGGATTTTGCCGCTATCATCAGTCCGAGCTTCACACCAACGAGCAGTGTCGTCTCCAGCAGCCACTGCGGCGCGCGCGTTCGATAGAGGGCGCCGAGGAACGCCGCTCGGGCGGCGGCAGCCGCGGTGGCGGCGGTAGCCAGCGAGGGGGTAGCCCGCCACCGGGGCCAGGCCGCGGTGGCGGCCGATGGGTGAGGCTAAAAGGGCAGCAGCACCACACCGGTCATGGTGGCGGTGGCTGGAGCCAAGCCTCACCCCCCCCGAGACATCTTCGTGGACGCGGGCCTGGTGGTCGTCTGGGGCGTCACCCGGGGGGCCGTGGGCCCGCGGGACGCCACAGCAGCAACTGTCGTGCAGAGAGAGAGCGGGCAGGGAGAGGCCCGGGGCACGCGCGTTCTGGCCACGGAAGAGAGCAGGCGTACGTTTTGTACCACGCCCACGATGATGGTGGCTACTACGAAGACTACGGCGACTACGACGACAGCTACTACTACGAAGACGGCTACCACGACGCCGGGTACGCCCACTACGCCGGCGGTGGGGACAGCTACAGCTACTCCTCAGGGTACGAA